CAGCAGGGTTAAAGGTAACGCTATTGTCTTGGAGAGATGGGACTGAGAAATCCTGTGAATCTCCAGAATGAGGAAACAGAGATTCTCAGGCCAACAGATGTGACCGTAATTGCGTATACACCTGTTGTCAACGATTGATTGATTGATTGTATATTTTCCTACAGAGTCCAAAGTTCAATGTCACAGGCATAAAGTCCATAAAAAGGCAGCAAAGATGACAAGTGTCAAAAAACAGGAAACAAGTATAGTTGAATATTAAAAATCAATCAAATAAAATAGCTAAAACAGATGATTATAGTTTAGTAAGATACCAACTATATACACTAAAAAGTATAGTATAAAAGTACATATATATATACAGTAAAAAAACGATATATTTATATATAAATATATATACATATATATAGAAAGAGACGTATATATGTATATTTATATATACTATTTATGGGAATATGTACTGACAGCTATTTATTTGTTGTATATATACATATTTATGTATATTTAATATATATTTATTTACGTATGTTTAGTCATATGTTTTTGATTTACTTGGAATATATATATATTTGATGTACATAGTGTATATAGTTGTATCTATATACTGTATATGTGTGTGCGTATATGTATATATACAGTATATGGGAATATACATTGAGAGCTATTTTCAAATAGCAATGGAAAAGACTACAGGAAACTGAAAGAAGCATTCTAATCATTGCAATACAGTGGAATACTTGGAATATTTTAATCAGAGTATTTGTTTACACATTTAGAAGTCGATGAATAATATAGTCGTTCTCCTTCTGAAAACTCCAATGTTACCGCGTGTGACTCATGCTAGTGCCTGGATCTAAAGCTCTGGGAGACTACTGGAGACTGTAATTACCTGGCTGTACAAAGGTGAAACCGTGTAGAGCCTGTTTTACAGCATTTACACTTCCTGTAAAAAAAAAAAAAAAAAAAAGTTGTCAACCTTTTATAACACTTCTGTGAATTGAAGGCATGGAAAAGATTGCGGGAAGTTTTAAGGGTAAAATTCTTTTGTTGCCTAACTGACATTTAAAGCATCTTGAAGTTAAAAAAACAAATACATAAAATATATATTTATATTTATATTTATATTTATATTTATATTTATATTTATATTTATATTTATATTTATATTTATATTTATATTTATATTTATATTTATATTTATATTTATATTTATATTTATATTTATATTTATATTTATATTTATATTTATATTTATATTTATATTTATATTTATATTTATATTTATATTTATATTTATATTTATATTTATATTTATATTTATATTTATATTTATATTTATATTTATATTTATGAAACTCAACTCAATAGCTGGAATAAATGCCACTCAGCATGATCAAGCAAAGGCCGTGTTGTCCTCCAGTGACCACACAGTCGCTCTTACTTTTACCCCAGTTTGCAGAGCAAAGGTGCAGCATCTGTTCCGATAACCTTTTACCTGCGCTGTGGAGAGAATTTCAACACTGAGCAGAAGTCTCAAGTCTAGAATAATCGCAGTGTGGGCTAAGCCGGCGATGCCTTCTCACCCAGAAAGTTATTGAACAAACTATGCACGCACCCACCTCCAAAAGCAAACGTTTTCTTGCTTTTAAAACAAGGGCCTTATGAGCTCTGGGAATTCTTTAAGAATGCACTTGCAGGACCTATTCGATAGTGATTGTTGTGAGCACGTGCGAAGGAAGCATCTGTGTTGCTTGGTCTGCAGGGAGGAAAGGGAAAATAGTTGAACTGATCGTTGCCTCCGCCAAAGACGCCCTTATCCGCCCCCATCAGCCGGTTTCGTGTCACGCACTCTGTAAATATGCCAGTGCATTTGTTGTTTATCTTCTTATTCATTTACTAAGAGTCTGAGGCAGTAATATTCGCAGCTTTACTGCGTGAGACCAGCACAGTAAACATTAATCATAGAATACTCTGCTATTATATCGGCTATTATACACTGTAATACGGCAATACAATTAAATGCCGCTTGATTAAAGGTCTTTATAGTTTCAGGACTAAAGGTGTGGCCGTATTTAAAATTCATTAACCTCGGCGACAATAGGGAAGAACAACAGAAGGAAGCTTTGGGCTGCAAGTTGTCATCTTAGTCCAGCACTGTGACTCAATAGTTGCTCTTAATAAAGAAGTTGGGTTTGTCAACTCATTTGCACATCCTTGTTCCTGGTTGGTGGTTTTAGTGTTTTCAAACATGACAGAGAAGTCAAGGACGGGAAAAACAAACAAACAATTGTCTTGGTGTAAATACTGCATTTGCACTTTGCTTAAAAACAATATATATACCATATATATAAATGTCCTTTGAAGTGTGTCCTGTTTTCTTCTCCAGTCTGTATTGACCTTCCCTCTGTGGACGTGTTTCTCATCAAGGTCATCCACTGACAAGAGACCCCTCTTTCTCCCCTCTCTCCCCCCGGAGGAATGTCCACCTGGAAAACCCTGGACGCCCAGAGGAATGTCCACCTGGAAAACCCTGGACGTCAGCCTGTCTTGTTCACGTCTGTCAGTGAGACCTCGGACAACCCTGGCCTCAACACTTTGTAACAGTCTGGTGAGCCATGACCTTTTATGCCTTTCATATTCAAAGTAATCCAATTTTTAAAGCTTTATTTAGGAAATAAGAATGCTGCAAAAATAATAACAATAATAAATATTATTGTTGATGTTGTTGTTAATATATTATTGATATGGACTGAAGTGGACTACTACTAGCGGTGCTGGCACTAGCACTAGCGCTGTCGCTCATATTTCTTCTTTTTTGGGTTTCAATAGCAGCTGGTGACGCTTTCAGTCCCATTACTGCCCCCTACTTTGGTTAAAGGTTTGCGGCATAAAGGTTATGAGCACGGTGAGTTGGTGTGTCGTTTTGTGACTCCTGGTGATGCAGTACCTTTCCAGCCCACCTGGGGGTGCCTTGTTTTCAAAATATCCTCATATAGAAATATATACGATATGTGCAATATGCAAAAATAACGTTAAAATGTTAACGACAAAAACGCTAACATACCAAAGCGAATGGAATACACAAAGAGCAGTCTACCGATGTCCCTGCACTTTGCGACTGGCTACTTCTGTGCTCAGGGTTTTGGAACCAAACAGTGATAACAGATGAGAAAGAACAGACAGCTGAGAGTCAGGCCAACGCGGTGTCACCAGGATGTGGATCATTTCTCAGGCAGCACATTGTTTCCTTCATGTCTGATCTGATGCCCAGAAAAGTGACTACCATGATGTCATTTACAGTCAGTAAACTCACGTTTATCACTCACGCTGAAGCCCATAAAGATTACACGTTTTTCAACTCACAATGACTAATAGGCAATAAGTGAGGAAACTAAACCAAACAACGGTGTCAGGAAATGACTGTAAAAACCCTCAAATGTAATAAGGAAGTATTGGTTTATTGAGAAACGGCTCCCCCATAGAAAATAAATATACTTGAAATTTGCTAATTGATTCGACAATAGTGTCAATATGTGAAAACTAAACTGAACTCTGCAGATGTGTTCCCCCCCCCCCCCCAAACTCTGCAGATGTGTTTTTTTCCCCCCTTAGTTTAATCGTAAGCAGGAAGTTGTTATTATTGTTCACTGCTGCCCTTGCAGGAAGCACCGTGTCTCCTGTGATTTTGTTCCTTCCCCTCAACAAACCCAACTGGACACAAACTACGTGTCCTTCATGGTACGTGTCCATATACAGTATTTACACAGAGTATTTACTGAGGGTCCGCAGTGTCTCCGGCAGGGGGTCTATATTGCTTTAGCGTTGGCGTTGGCGGACTTTCATCGTGGTGTGCTACATGCTACCCCTGCACACACGTGCAACACACTGTCGGACACAGTCACATGACAGCATTCCTGAAGCTTCCAAGAACCAGGGTATCTGGTAGCCGCTGGCAGACGGATGAGGTCAGTAGACAGACAGAAGGCTACTGATGTTTGACAAGGGGATTTAATTGTCTTTTTTTTAATTATTATTATTTGAATCTAAACAATGCTTTAATATACCCTTTAAGAATGACCCCCCCCCCTCCCAAAAAAAACACTGGCCCTCGTCTCCTCTTGACATACCCGAGGTGCAGAAAGCACACAGAGAGATTAAATGATCGTGTTACATTTTAATAAAAAACTGACTTTGCAGCTCTCATAATAGTTGCATTATTTTTCAAAACCCAGCTGCAAATCGGGCCACTCCCAGTAGCCCTGAGGGAGTTTTCTTTTAACACAGTGAACTGACACGAACCTAGTACTACATTAGCATTCAAACTACTGTACCTGTGTTAGGGTTAGGACACGCACTCTGGTTTCCAGGCTGTTAAACGCTGCCCTGTTTGACCCCCCCCCCCCCCCCCCCCCCCCCCACCCCTGGCTGCGTAAAAAAGGAAGTGTTATTTTAGGAAGGCACAAACCACCAACAGTTGCCAGCTCTGGCCCAGCTGACTGGTTAATGTGTTGGCCTCCAAGAGATAATCTGTGAAACTTTCTCCGCAAGACAACGCACGGTCACATTTGTGATAGCTAACAATAACAACTCCGGGCTTCATTTTCACACAGTCCGGCTGATTATTTTGCGTGAATGGATCTTTCTTTCCCCAGTGTAGGATTACCGACCAAAGAGCGATTCAGTGCTGTTACCGGGCAGATAAGCCGAACATTTGAGCGCAAACCTTTGAGTCGAGTGGGCTTTTGATTCCCCTGCTTCCACCTTTTGTCCGCGGCCTGAGAGTTTTAGCATTCGGCGGGGATCGTTTCAACAATTTCAACGAAAAAAAAAACACGGCGCTGAAGAAGAAAAAAAAGATGTTCGGCGAGTTAAAACTGTTTTGCTTAAGACTAATCTCCAGTCAAATCCTGAAGGACGCGAAGACAAGACTTTCAAGGACTGATAAATAATTCACAACCCAAGGCCGCACCAGACAAGGTCAAGACCGAGAGCGAGGGAGGAAGGTCTCGACCATGACCAGCGGACTGATGATTTCACTGATTATTTTTTTTTTAGTATTTTTCATTTTAAACACCATCGGCAAACGTCTAGCGTTAAAAACCAACGACGTATTGTTGTTTAGGACAAGACCATGACTGAAACGCAGTCGCTTTACACGTGAGTTTATTTTCGTGTCAATGTCAAGCCGGGGCAGTGTGGGTCACGTGACCGGTGAATTAAAAATAGCCAAAAGAGTGAACGGTTACCCTTATTTGACCACAACAACGGCATTTGCACGACATACGATACCGACACGAGTGCAAAGAAAATGATTAAAAGCTCATTTTTTGACGTGTCGTGCAGTTTAGACCATTTCTACTTTTCCAAACACTTGTTGGATTCTCCTTTAAACCATCATCTTCATATTCAATTCACTCCACATTCAAACTGAAGAACCGGTTCAACAAATTTGGTTGAATATTTTAATGAATCGAACCATTTCTCCCCCCCCCCCCACATGTGATCTAATCCTGTGTTTAAATGTCAGTTAATTCGACCTTTTTTTGGCGTTTCACAACTACCAATGATTGAGTAAACCGCTGCAAACACTGCAGGGTTAAGGCCAGTTCACACAAACATATAGTAGCCTGGAAAGCAGAAGTCGTTGCGTCTAGGCCGGTCTGTGGCAAACTCACTTCCCTAGACTATTTTGTGTCACAACTCAATTTGGTTTGTTTCTTACAAGGAAACGGTGGCTTTTCCTATGACCCCATTGACGTTGTTAGACTATTTATCGGCAAGGACTCGAGGATGAGCGCTCGGAAGGTGGTTCCCTGTGAACTATATTTTATTTTATTTTTTTCCCCCCCGACATGTGGGTCATCTTTCATTCACGGCTGCATTTGTATTGCTTTTGTGTGAAGTGACAGGGCAGTGGGTTAGTAGGTCATCAGGTTCAAATGATTATTTCGTTCAGTACAGATGTTTTCTTGTTTTGTTTTTTTTTTTCCCCCCTGCCAGACATTTATCAAGATCTTATAATACAACCCTTTTCTCCTTCCCAGACATAAAAAGTAGGTTACTGACTTAAAATACAAAGAGATGTTTGTTACGAAACACAAAACGGGCCACCCGCGTGTCAGCGACCCACTTCCTCTCTGATTTTTAAATGAGTGTGTCCATACACATGGTCACCGTAGCAACACAACCTCATATCTTAAGTATCACTTTCATGTCCTACTAGTAAAAGAAGACGACGAGACTCCAAATTTTTTCTTTTTTTTTTTCCCTCACAGTTTTACTCTGAGTATATAAAACATCTAGACATAGAATATGTAAAATAATGTGTCGGGACTTAATATAAAGTGAATGGTTACATTCTATGACAGCGACAGAGGAATGGCTACTGTGTGTATAGATATATGTGCCGTCTGGTGCCAGCAGCCCACGCGGGCGTTAAGCGCAGGCCGATATGGGGTTGCTGAGCCCGCTGAAGTAAGACTTTTCCCGCTCGCTCATCAGCTCAAAATGCAACGGCTGCTGACAGAAGGTGCACTCAGCCGAGGTGTGGGGCCTCAGCTCCAGACCGACCTCCTTCCAGGTATGCACCAGTCGCTCTGAAGACGGAGGGGAAAGACGTTATAAGATACACTTCATCTACAGTTATCAACAATCGCAACAGAATCACAATCTGATCTTCTCAGCCAACTCACCCACGAAGTATTTCATCATCTCCGGAGTGTGGTGAGGTGTCGGCGCAATACGCAGCAGCTCATCTCCCCTGGCGACCGTGGGGTAGTTGATTGCCTGCACGTAGATGTTGTGGCGGCTCATCATGATGTCACACACCTGAGTGTTCAGCTCCGCGTTTGAAACCTGGGAAAAAAAAAAATTATTGTTTTCGCAATAATCAGAACAGAACGACGCTTTGAAGGACGTCGGGTTCCTTAGAACAAAAGAGTAGCAGTTTAACTTACCCTGATTGGGATGATGTGGCTTGGACAGTGCACCACGGGCAGCCCTGAATCCATCAGCATCTGCCTGAGCAGCTTAACGTTGCGCTGGTGCTTACGTCGAAGCGCGCGGCCCTCTTCCCCTTTGAGGACCTGCACAGACTGCCTGGCTCCGGCTAACAGCATGGGCGGCAGAGACGTGGTGAAGATGAAGCCGGCCGCGTAGGAACGTACTGTGTCCACCAGGGCGGCTGTACTCGCGATGTATCCGCCCACGCAGCCGAAGGCCTTGCCTGGAAAAGGGACATGAACAATGACGGGAGTGAGCACAAGGGACGCAGAGTTCTCAATTCGAAATAATTGTCCTCTGTGTCCGACAGTGACACACGGAGACGGGGGGGGGTTATTCAATTAGTGGAACAGGAGCCCACAGTCGCCTAGCAACAAACGGAGCTGTCTAACCCCTCTTCCAGCCTCACTGCATATCGAGTGACACGGCTGATTGTAAGATAAGACAATAAACAAACGGCAGATTCTGGTTTTCTTTATGTACACTGTGAGAACTTTCTTAGAAATATAATATAATCTATAATCCTCTTTTAAATACAAAATAAACAAACAGATTCTGGTTTTCTTTATGTCCTCTGAGAACTTTCTTAGAAATTATAATCTATAATCCTCTTTTAAATACACTTTGGAAGTATTAATATATAAATTAATGATAATATGCTCACCCAGTGTGCCCGAGATAATGTCCATCTTGTGCATGACACCATCCCGGTCTCCAATACCCCCTCCTCTGGCACCGTACAGGCCCACAGCGTGCACCTCATCCACAAAGGTGATGGCGCCAAACTCATGGGCTAAATCACACATCTCTTCTAAGGGGCACACGGCACCTGCGACACAGACACTTAGTGATCAAATTCTCTGAAATTAAATTTTAATGAAACAAACAAGACCACAGTATCGTAACATGAACGCATGATCGTGACTAACCATCCATGGAATGGACGGTCTCGAAGGCCACGATCTTTGGTTTGGTGGGGTCTCCTTTCTGGAGGAGCTCTCGGAGATGGGCCACATCATTGTGGCGGAAAATAAATTTCTTGGCGCCGCTGTTTCTGATGCCCTGGATCATGGAAGCATGGTTTCCTGCATCCGAGTAGATCTCACAACCTGACGGCACAGAATGGGTTTCCGATCAGATTACACGAGCGTGACTATTTTCACAGACAAATTCAACACATGACTTTATGGCACGGTAGAAGTCGCAGGCTGAACGAATTGCACCATACCAGGTAACATCTTGGCCAGGGTGAAGAGAGTGGAGTCGTTCGCCACGAAGCAGGAGGTGAAGAGAAGAGCGGCGTCCTTGTTGTGGAGATCGGCCAGCTCTTGTTCCAATTCCACGTGGAATTTACTGGTTCCAGAAATGTTCCTGGTCCCACCTGCTCCCGACCCGTGCTTCTGTAACGTTTCCCTGATGAGAAGAGGAGAAAAACAAGATTAATGTCATGGAAAAACTTGGAAAACAATTAAGCAAGGGACAGCCGGAGGTTTTTTCAAACACATCAATGAATAGGTGTTTGCGGCACTCGGGGGGGGGGGGGGGGGTTCTGGGCAAGCTGAAACAGGCTGCAACGAAAGAACGGGAACATAACACCTGAACTGAGACCCATGAGGTTTGGGAGTGAATTACAACAAACAAACACTCTTGACCCACAAAATAACAAAAGGTGTCGCATGATGTCTTTCTGTGTGCCGGGTCTGCTTTTTCACCCCCTGTTCTATTGCACATCTCTATTTATTATGTCAGATAAATAAGTACAGCGTTTTCCCGATAATAAGTTGTACATTTTTTTCATGCTTTGGCTAGGTTTGCGACTTTTATTACAATATGTAATTTCACGTGTTAGAGGGCGCTCTAACTCCTGTACCACTGAAATTTACATGTTCGCTATTTTCACACCGACAGCCGCTAGAGGGCACTCTAGGCTTGGGTATCAGTATCTGTTACTCTGTACTGTAAGTCGCACTTTTTAAATCATTTTTCTTCCTCATTATGCATTGTTTTGGCTGGTGCGACTAATGCTCTTATAGTCCAGAAATTACGGTAATGAATAAATCAGGACCAAGTCCACGTCTTTTCGCACTCACATAATGCTCTGAGCGACCAGGGGGTGTCGACTCATGCCCAGGTAGTCATTGCTGCACCACACAGACACCTCTCTCTTGTCAGCCAAAGACGCGGTGAAGTCGTCGGCCATGGGGAACACCTGGGCCAAGCGGTTCACCGTCTTAAACACGCGGTACGTGTGGTCGCTTTTTTTCTCCTCTATCTTCTTCTCGAAGAAGTCGTCGTATTGGAAGGGTGACACTGAGCGTACGGGGGGGGGGGAGAAAATGTGGTGTCAGCACTTTCATATAACAGTCAATAGGACCGATTGTATAGTTAGGTCTGAATTAACACTTTACTGTTTAAATACATTGCCAGAAACAAAACGTACAGTACCTTTGCCAATTAAATTGTCCCGCAGCATATGAGACACTCTTTTAGGCCGCTGTTTCAGAAGGCTCTTGATCAGATCATTGGGCTCCACCCCAGTTTGCTTGGGGGTGGTGTTAATGGATGGCTTCTGCAGTTGTTCTGGGGAAACCTCTGAAAAGGCCAAAGGAACATTGTTGCAAAAATAGTAAACAAAAGCCCAGTTTCACCAGATTGCTATGATTTTGTTTGTGTAAAGAAAGCTTACCTTTCTGCACTGTGCGGACTTCCTGGACATCCTCTTGGAACTCCAGTCCAACCTGACGGACTACACTACTGTTCTTCTGAGCCATCTCGGCAGCAAGGAATGGGCATTTTGAAGCACCCGTCTGGCCTGACGGAGACACCTGGTGACCAGCCGGCATCACTTTGGGACCTGGAGGAGATCATTTATTCGACACAAGCATAACGGTTGGAAACAAATGTACAAGTTCAACTTTGACTTGAAGACTTATTCAGTCCTTATATCAGCCTCACCATCACCATCAATTGAAGACGTGGTGTCCTCAGTCTGCTTGTTAGAGGAGGATGAGCACAGAGCTCGTGCCATTGGTGGGGCCATGGGTTTCGAGGCCAGCTCCATCATGACAGGGCATTTCTGGGCGTAGACCACCAGAGATGGTTTGGATTGTTGTAAGAAGGCCTGAGGCACACGGGCCAGAAATGGACACCTACGCAAGAGTACGTCCATGGCAGTTTTGGTGATGATTGTCCAGTGACCTAAAAAAAGGTGTATTCATAATTAAAAATAGTGACATGGCCAGTTACTTTGGCTTGAAGATAGAATACTATTGATTCAAGTAAAAAACAAAACAAAAAACAACAACAACTTTAAGAGCTACAGGTCGGTAAAACTGAAAATGAAATAGCCTCAGCCATAAGTATATGCAAAAAAGTCACTGGTTTAACTCCACGATTATGCAAAATGTTTGAGACCCCTACAATGAGTTAGGGTTAGGATAGGGATAAGGAAAAAAACTGCTTCTAACGACACTTGAACTAAATTCAGGAAAATCCGTCGACAGGATTGAGAAAAAGCTACACATTCCTGGAAAACGTAGTCACGCTCTTTTTTTCTTCCTCCTGTACATTTTTCGAGGAAATGTGAAACACCGGGCTGGGGAAAAAGGTTGTCGACATAAACTCAAGTATTTGATTAAACTAAACTCAAAAACTGACTACAAACACTATGCTAACAACAATAATAATATATTTGACAACTCCGCATCTTGACGTTTGTTTCGAGTTTTCCACCGTGGCTTTACTTAGTTTACCAGTAGTGTTACAACAACGGTTCTAACCTCACTAGTAGTGTTACAACAACGGTTCTAACCTTCTCGCATACACCTCCCAATTGACAATATTAATGGTTGACATCTTTACAATTATCTCTAAATAATTAAAAACACACTGCTGAAACTATCCGTTTACAAATACGCCTAATAACATATTTATGACATTGAGTGACACGGTGTCTGTACATAAAGCGGCCACTAGACAATTAGGACACCAAAAGACATTGGTGAAATCACATACAAGAAAAGGAAAAACAATAATTAAAATAAAAATACTGACTTATTCCTCAAGGTGAGATCTGTTGCTCATACAGACTCACTGGACTTCACCTTAGCTAGTCTGCTAACATTAGCTCAGAAACCAAAGGAGGAGAGGTATTAAAAATGTACTTGCCTCTTTAAAAAAAAAAAGTCAGCTTAGGGCGAAGTCCTCTTTGTTGGTACTAACGTTGGTAGTGTGACAGAAGCGAATCTGATAATAGATAACGATGATTCAAACGCCCTGTTTTACGTCGATACCACGACAAAGTACAGTTTCGTTATCCTACACTGAGGACGAACGAAGAGGACGAGGAGTTGCGAGGCTTATAAAAGCGGATGCCACACGGAGGTCTCGCGAGAACAATTGTACACACGTCACAGACTTGTTCACGCGTCATATTGAATTGTCACTCGTGACCATTTTTTCTTTACGTTAGTGTACATGATAAACATAAAAAAAGGCACCAAAACTATTCGGTTTACCTAATGGCACCTCAAACTATTAGCTACTCACATAAATACGCTTTTTGCTTGCATCCAATAAAAAGCCGTTGATGTGAATGATCCTCTCAATAATGCATTGGCAAATAATGTGATCTACAGCTGGGAACTTGCGACATCTGGTGTTTCAAATAAGATGGTGCACATCCTAAATTGAATCAAGACGTTAAAACTGTAATTGATTCCAGTTCCAGATTCCACCAACCCTCCCGAACCTGCGGGTGGTGAGTCCACTGGAAGGTGGACACACCAATGACAGAGACATTGCTTCTGGGCCAAAGCGCCACTGTAGTTAATTTATTCACTTAATAAATCATTATTAATAAGCCGGAGTACAAATGACTTAGTATTGCACTAGAACAATCACGTTACGGCATGTGCATTGCATATTTGTATGGTCTTTGTGAGACTTTAAAACCACAAAAGACAAGAAAAATGTTCTTTAAGCATTATGTCAAAAGTATTGCTAATCCACTAAAATACTTTATCTAAACTAGGCTTCTTCTAATCTAGAGCTAAGAATTTTTTTACTTGAATGTGAACATTTAACTGTTGTGTTCTGCTGCCCTCTGCAGACCTATATTGGTATCGAATCTCGCCCTGTCAAGTTCGCTCCTTATTCACTTATTTGCGCTTTAAATAACTTCACACAACTGACATGATGACAAAGCTAAGTCTATTAACACGACACAATAAATAAAGGCGCAGTTACGGGCAGGGTTAGGTTAAGGTGGTAAATGGTCCAGGTTTAGGAGGTGCCATGTAAAGTTCCTAAGTCCGATCCCCAAATTATGAAAAATCTAAGCGATATGGAGCAAGACTTCCAAATATGACGATCATCAAAAAAAAAACCAACCAAAAAAAAAACAAAAAACAACAACAACAAAACATCTCTTCGCAACTAGATGCGTAACGTAACGGCTGGTCAGATCAGATTAGTTCCCCCGCACATTTGACACATTCAACCACTGCTTCTCGAGTAGTGGGGCGGGCCCCCTTGGAGGGGCGCGTTGGGGTGTCACGTGGGGCTCGAGAGGGGCTTTTCGTTTTCCGATCAGTCTTTTTTTCGTGCCTGAACGACAAACAAGCCTCTATTCACTAGATGGCAGCAGAGCAGCTCGTTTTATTAATCTATGTGGCTAATCAAGGGATTCTACGAAGAATACTGATTCCAGCAAGTCATAGTGGTTTGTACAGGTAAGTGAATACATATTACCAGGCGCTGTTATTTCAATTCTGGAGGTGGCGTGTTTGTGTGTGTGTAGGTGGGTGGGGGGGTTCTGACGTAGTGTTTAGAAAGTGTTTAGAAAGTGTGAATAGACAATAGTGTTGGTAAAGATAAACACGGCAACAACATTTCACATATATAACTACATTCTGTTCTTGTAAACATTCGTAGTATTCTACTCTGAATTGTAATAATGTACCCATTTGTGTGGTTGTGCATTTTAGGCCAGTGAAGCCATATTCTTCCGAAGAGCGGAACTAGCTGTGGGTGAGGCATCGACGTGTAAAGAGGATCTTTGCAGTTCTCCACGAATGCTCTCCACTGAGCTCAGACCGAGCTCCTCCTCTCGGCAACAGTCTTCGGTATTCCCTTTTTTTTCTGTCTGAATCCGGGAATTTGGATCCCAGACATGGCGTCAAGCCTGCTCACCATTGTGGTGGTGGTCCTGTGTGCGGTTCTAGCCCCTTGTGTGTCCGGTAAGTGTGACCTACGGCGTTAAGAGAAGTTTGCGCTCGTTCTTGGTCGTCATTCTTGAGTGGTTCTTTCACGCTGTTATTTTATTTGCGTGTTTCAGTCGACATGTAACGTCAGAGCTACCGACCGGTCTCTAAACTGGGCGATGTCAGTGGAACCAGGGTTGGCCACTTTCGTTTCGTTAAAATGGATTAAACGTTCCCGTGTTTTTGAATCCATCCAAAAGTTAGGCCAATCGTCATATTCAGCTCCGTTTTTAATAGACAATGGAAACGTGTTCTTTGTGTGAACTTTATCGCCGATCGTACGTCGCTCCCTGGTCGTTTTATTCGATTCCTTCGTTATAATTACACATTTAAAACCCGCACAAACACTAAATTCTCTAAAATAATCGATCACTTCAGTTGACGACACCTATAAAAGCACATTCATTAGTACACCCCAAATATTATATTACATTTTATTTATATTGTAAATCTCAAAAAAACAAAACATCTTGAGTCCCTAGGCTAATTTCCCTTTCCATTCCTCCTTACACAATCCCGTGTAAATAAACAAGCGGGGATATGACTCATAGCCCGGATCCTCGTCATCAAGTCCACTGCATTGAAAACTTTAATCTAATAATAGTCCATTTCTGCACCAAATTATTTTATAACCTAAACGCCACAAATCAGACATTTTCCTTTTTAGAAATGGACTTGATAAGTTATCAACTAAACGAGGCCCTTTTATAAATTCTAACCTGGAGCTTTAAATATCCCAATATATATTTATTAGTGTTACCAATTAATAATAAATTAGTAATTTCAGTGGTCAGTGTTTGCCAAGGCATATTTGTTTATGTATTTAAAATTTAAATTTTTGTTGTTGTATTAAATCAGAAATGGATTGATCCGGCCGAGTTGTAGCACCACACTTAAAGCACGGATCGTAGTAAGAACTGGATGAAGACGTCTAAACTAGAGCAAACGTTAGTTGACTAGAACCCAAATCCAGTGTGTTAATAAAGCAGCATGGGGTTTTTTATCATAGGGAAGTGAAACAAATAACTGTAGACCCAAATACAGAGACTTTGAGTAAGTTTGCTGCATTGACGGTTGAGTAAAAGGAAGTATTGTACAACAGAGCTATATTTCTCTAAAGCACCACAAACAGTCAAGCTGAGTCAACTCTGCTCTAAAATAGCTTTGGCCGAACCCGGTGTATGTTGTTTTTCAGTGTTCATTGAATGTAAGATTTTGCTGCTACCTCATTAATTTAGGAAAAAAAAAAAAAGATGCAAATTTGCATATTTACTGTATGTAAAGGTTCGTTAAACTGGTCTAAGACCTTAGAATTTCCATATCCACGACTACATACCCAAAGGTTAAACTGGTCTTAGAAGACCTTAGACTTTCCATATCCACGACTACATACCCAAATTACGTGGTAGCATTAATTTATATCAACGCAAATGGAGTCGCATGTTCCTAACAAAAACAAACACAATTATGAGACTTCTGATACGACATGAACATGAATTTAAAGATGATTTTGTCGACAACAGTAAATGAATAACTTTCAAAGCCAAAAAGTGTCCCATGAAAAAAATTACTTTATAAAAAAATAAATTAATAAAATTAAACCTTAAGTAAGATATATCACATCCTGTTATTGTGCCAAAAGCTACAACAAACATGTTTTGCAACATTGCAATCAACTTTGTGAATATTCTACGTCATTTCTGCCGTGGCTGCGTTGTTGTTCGCTGCTCAGAAGAAACAGGCGGTTTTGTTTTTCTAACTCTGAAAAAATAAAAAAAAAAAAGAACTCCGAGCGCATGTTGTCTATGTTGTCGTTTTGAAAGCCCACATTGGTTTACTCATATTAGCAGGGGTTAGCAGAGGGTGAGGTCTATGGAAAGACATGATGTTCTGATTCAGTTCCTAATGTTCTATTGAGCTTTTGGGAATAGTTTTACTGTTTTCTACGTACCCAATTTTACGATGTTACAAGTAGATATGTTAAAGTTTAAAAGTGGATTTTAAAAAGATGTTTGAAAATTTTAGGGGTAACAGGAGGGACAAAGACAGGGGGCGCTGTTCTTGAGCTGTGGCTCTACTGTAGTTCAGCCAATGTTTACTGAACAGTTGTTTCCTTTTGATTCTTTGTCCTACAAATGAACAGGTTGGCCGGGTCGGGAGCAAATAGATGGAACGTTGGCGTGAACAAAGAACATTAAGACATGTGAAAGTCATACATACTGGCTAAAATGATTATATTGTTTTCTATGCCATCTATTGGTGAAACGTGAGTATTGCAGGGAAAAGGCAGAAGTATAATGATAATACAAACAAGGTATATCATTTGTAAAATTTTGGCGGCCGGATTAAAAAGACGAACGGGCCGCATCCGGCCAGTAAAAAATCACGTATACAATCATTCTGTCTGACTAGGGATGTAACGATGCGTCATGAATCGGTTGAAAATCGGTACAAATCTGAGACAGTTCGCATCGGCTCAACTAAAAAAATAAATCACACATCAAGGCGTAAGGAGTAGCTTGGGTCATTTCAAAAAGTCACTGGTCATACCGTGAGACTACACACTCTAGTACAGTAGGTGGCGGTACGCTCCTAAAACGTTGGTTGTGACCCCCTTATAAACCAAGACGTCATGTCCTTATCTTTACATCCCTATATATATATATCTGAGCCGTACCTGTCTTTGCTGACATTTGTTTTCTGTCTCTTTTGTTTGTCAGCACGGGACTCGGACTGTCTGGCATACGATTACCATTCTAAGCAATACTGCCATTTCGGCCAGTTTTGCTGCGGTACATGCAGGAACCGGTACTGTTGCAGCAGCTATTTATCAGAGTTTTCAGAGGACCAACAAGAACTGTGGTAAGCTGTGTTCTACTGTTCATATGGTAAATACGGTAATCGTGGCACAAATGAAAACGCTGTCTTCTCTTCTGTCTCCAGTTTAGTCGAGAACGTTTCCTCGATGTCCATAACGGTCACCGTTATCTCCCTCGTTTCCTTCATCCTCATAATTATCTGCTGCTGCGTCTGCCCCTGCTGCTGCCTGTACAAAATGTGCCGCAAACCACAGCGTAAGTGACCTCTCCGTTACTGTCGATGGCTGACCTTGGTGTGATATTTTCAAATTCCGACTGTGGTGTGAGGTGTTAAATGTCTAAATCGTTTTTATTGAGGTGTGATTTTTTTTTGTTTTTTTTTTTTTCTTTCTGATTGATATTTTGTCGTGATTTTAAAATGTGTTAGTTTGAAATCTAATGTCGTCGCAAAGTACGGAGCATTTTTTTGAAATTGAACCCACGACTGTCGTTTCTCTTTGACGATTCAGTCACATTATGTAATGTTTTGTATTTGTCTGTACTTGTCTCTTCACCTTCACACACATACTTTTTTTTTTTGGACAGTTCAACAATATACGTGGTACGTGATTTTACTCACATACCATACCGTGACCCGTCAGGTATGTGAGCTCCAGATGTCCTTCTGCCCTTTGATTTGAGCAATGCTAGATAAGGGTTGGACTGATGTCAGACTAAAATAAACGACCCTTTGAGTAAAGGGTGATAGGAAGTTTCAATCTGCCCTTGCTGTCCGGCATCATGTAGTTCTGATGATTACGACGTGTAAATTAGACTATTTGAAAAAAAAAAAAAAAAAAAAAAAGATTTCTATGGACGGAATATACATTTATGCCATGGAAACATCGGGGGCACGGCTCTGATACGCACCACGACAGTGCTTCATAAACTGATCCCACAAACACAGACCACACAAATGATACATAGAAATCATTCAGTTCATTTTTCCAGTTTCAAATGCCCAGATTAAGTGACAGCATCTCAGATTTGTATTTTCGCCGTTAAGTTTTAGCCGGCTCACGTTACCCACGCCGTAGCGATCAGATAGTAAAGCTTAAGCTAAAATTTTTGTGCATACAAATGGCAGGATGTTTTGGGCCGATCTTCAATTGACAGCATTCGCAAATAATCAAAAGGTGTTTTTTTCCCCACAAACTGCACCCACTCCTCAGTTCAAGAACTTTCAAAACAAAGTCCTTGGTGACCGCAATGGGGTACTAAATAAAAATGGGTTCCTCAGTACTCAATCCATAACCATGACGTTGGGTCCTACACACAGATCACGTACACAGATCATTAGTTTTCGGCTGAATGACGAAGTGTCAGATTTACGTTTTTTTTGTTGTTGTCCCGAACGACTTGTCGGTGGCTCACGCTGTTACTTGGGTGAACTGAGTTTTTTCGTCTACGACAAAACTCCGAACTAACCTGAACTTCGACGCACGTCACCAAACAACATATTGGAATAAAACAATGCATCCTTGATGTTGAAATATATCAATTGTCCATCGTTCAGTGGTGAGCAGAACGTTGTTATTTATCGCTAAGGTTGCTATGAGGCGTCTTCACCTACAAAAAGAAATCGTAAGAAAGAAAGTACAGGTCGCTAGTCCATTGCATAGAAACATCCAACGTCCAAACAACGTATTTACATTCAGTTCTCTACAGAATCTCTAAGCTCGGACTTGCACCAACGACTTTCTCCCCATAATATATTAGCATGCCACGGCTACCAACCCAGTCCCCACTAAGAAAACATGCGTTAATATCGATCAGGTATTACCTTAGTTTCAACAAATCTAGCATGAAACAAGGTGTTTAATAAAGTGAGTAATATATCGATGCCGTGCTGCTGCAGTCTGCGGCTGTACTTGTGCAGGTTTCCTGCGCACAGCATGCTCTTTTTTCGGTCAGTCAGACTATAGAAAGTTTACATCCTACATAGAAGTACTTAAATATAAAGACCCAGACTCTTGGTTTCAACTGTGTTGGAAGTTGTTTTTGTTGTATTTAATAGACGTAGGAGGAAACTCTTCCGAGGCTCGTGGACTGATCCAACCACATGACTTTTATTGCTGCTCTCGCGGTTTGGTCTTACCAAAGACAGACTGTGACACACACCCAAACTGATCGAATATTCCCCAAATCACTCAACTATGTAGAGTCCAAGGGAACAAACTGCTGACAAACTACTGGTGTTTTGTCACACAGACAGAATGCTGACAGAAAGCTTTCGTTATGCTAGTAATTAGATTGTTAATTTACCCCTGTTAGATCTTCTAACTCAAGTAGGAAAAAAAAAAAAAGCTCAATGATTATAGTGCCTAGTCTCCCGTGTAGCCCAGATTAATGAACCATTTTGTAATAATAATAAATAGTTAGTTTTCAACATGAAAACTACCACTTTTTTTTTTCTTACATATGTATCTGTATTTTCTATTAGAACGTATTACGCGTAAAACATCGGCACGGGTAAACAAGCTCTGCTCCAGCCTCTGACGCTAGTGTTTACAGTTTTCTCATCTCGGCCTGGGTTTGCGTTCTCTGCAGGCCTGTAATGTAGGTTGACATCTGTATGTGCACTCGTTTGGTTTCAGCATCTGTGCGCGCTAGTCTGCGGCCACTTCTGCTTGGTGTCACCACAGGAACTCAGTCAAACCTGATGACTTTACCGAATATGACACGAAACCCGACTCCTATTGTTCCTGTTTTAACCGAACTGAATCAAATATTAGGAAATAATGACAAATCCGTGCGGAGTAATGAAGAGAGGACGTGTCTTTATGTCATCCCTAATACCTAATAATAGAAGTGAAATATCTGAGGAAAATCAGTTGTCCGTGAACATCAGAAAAAGATGGCGATACTGTGTGTTGCAGTGAGGGGATGTCGACACAGATTTTCTCTTTCACTTCAGTTAAAAAAAACGGAACTGAAGCTTTTCCTTGATTGCTTTTCATGAACTTTGTGCTATAGGTAGCACACGTTACTTCACGTTGACAAAATGCACCCTCAAGTCCTTTACAGTAACTTAACAGTATAAATATATGCCCATATATATATATATATATATACACATATATACACATATATACACATATACACACATACACATATGTGTGTATATGTATACATATAAATATATACACATACATATACATATATACACACACACATATCTATACATATACACACACATATATCTATACATATATACACATATACACACGTGTATATATATGTATATATCTATACATATATACACATACATATACATATATACACA